AAGAGCAACATCAAGCTGGTTTCAGTCTGATGCAAAGGGGGGCTCAAACTGGGAACAAGGACATTTTAGTCCTGTCATCTCAGCAGCACCTTCAGGCCTGACCCTTCCACAAGCCCACTAGAATCATTTCACAGGGTGATATGGGGCCCAGGCTTTCTAATGGGCTCTGTGCTTTGGGCTGGGGCTGCTTTGGAAATCTGCTGCCCTGGTGGCTGCTGGAATCGAGGGCTGGTGAGAAACCAATTAACTGATGTAGGCACCTTGCTGGGAGCAGTGTTCTTTAGAGAATCCAGACCCTGGCTATGAGGCTAGGCACCTGGGAATTTGGCCTCAGCTCTGGGGAAAACACATTCCTTGGTGCCATGGCTTTCTTTGGTGCTCTGCAGCTACAGTTATTCCAGGTGTGAATTTGCCCTGTTTGTGCCCTAGAGGACTATATGGCACCAGGAGACAGCTCCAATTGGGGCATCTCATTAGTGGCACCCTTTGAAATGTGGTCAGCAAACTCCCTCACCCTGTGCTTGGAAGGGATGAATCTGCTGTCACTGCTAAAACCAAGACATTCAGCAATGCAGAGAAGAGGGACAGGGGGTTAGGCCTGGGCATAAGAGATGCCATTTGCTGGTCAGCCTGTTTCATGGAGTCTTCTAGTGCTGGGAGGACAGAAAACCCAAAGTAGTGCATGAGCTGCCATGACAAGCCTCCAGTTCTCAGTGACCCTGGAATGACATAACAGGCAATTGGACCAATTCCCTCAGTGTGTCTCAAGTGGGGTTGCTCCACTGAAGTCAGCACCAACTTACACCAGCTGGGAATGTGGTCCCACGGGGACCTGACAGGACTCAAGAGGGATTGCACCTAGACAATTACCCTGGACACTGTAGAGTAAATCTGAGGTCCTGATCTTGTCTTCACACTAGCCCGACAAGTGATACCAGTAGAATTACCTCCAGTCTTTTGCTCGTGTGACTAGGATCAGGCCCCCCTGTTCAGATGGGGATGTCTGAGCTTATTCAAAGTTCTGTAATTCACAAAAAGAGTGTCTGGTTGTTGCTAGGGCAAGGTGGCAAAACACACACACACACACACACGCACACACATGGAATTGGAGTGGGATTCATCAGTTATCTCAGATTCCAAGAGTGAATCTCAGCTTGATGAGCCTGCACGATTCAGGGCAACCCCACTGAGAAGCTTGCTGGCAGCAGGGAGGGAAAGTGGGGAGCAGGGATCCCTGCTGTATATATGCTTCTATCTTTCCTAAAGGCTGATCAAAGCAGCTGGGCAGCTCTGGATTCCCTGAGGATCCAGCTAAAAACCTGGTCTTCCACCTACCTAGATCCCTGCACACAGCACCTACCACCTGCCCTAACACTTTGCATTATACCCCAACATTTACTCTCAACAGGCCGACTCAGAGTAGGTCCTACTGAAAAACAAAGCTGACTGAACACTGATCTCAGGCAAAGAAAAGCTGGATTTTGTTTGCTCTGTGCTAGAATAACTGGAGCAGACACAAGGCATCTGGGATAAGTTAACTTGCTTCAACAGAACAGGCACATGGGTTGCATTAAATTCTTCTTTTTCTTCTTTGTTTTTTGGTTAATCTGCACAGTAAAATCTCTCCAGTGCTCTGTTCTACTGGCACTCTCAAGACTCCATATATTTGCAAAACTTTCTCCTGCTTTGTTTTAAGCGATCCCAGCAGCAGCAAGCCTTAGCCTCACGCTTGCTGAGTTTCCAAAGACTGCACTGTGAATTTTC